GAAAGAATTTCTACGGGAAATTAACAAACAAGCAGATACGTAACAATACATTAAATGCATGCTTATTCAAAACGTACATTGTCAAGAAAATAAGTACAGTCTGACGGTGATAAAATCCCCTCTTCATATTTTCTGGCCCTCCAATGGCACAGCGGTATGTCTTCGGACTTACAACGCTAGAAACCGGTTTCGATACCCGTGGTGGGCAAAGCACAGACAATAGCCCATTGTGTAGCTTTGTGCTTAATTTCAAACAAACATATTTTCTGTCAGTGTGATTGGTATCAATAACATTTTCTCACAGTGACATGAATCCAGACGTTTCAAGCTGTTACTAACTTTGTCTTACATTATATTTACTACAACTTGGATCGCTTTAAAATATCTTAATTGTATAACTTACACTCACATATATCCTTCAGTTTTTTTTAATTATTAGTGTATTTACGTATTACGTTTTTCGGAGTTGATGCAATGTACTTAGATCTGATTTTTGTTTTAAATATGTAACAAAAATTAAACACACATCACATACGAACACCCACAATTACTATGAGTTTTCTCTTCCTTTTTGGCCCGGCACGGCCAGGTGGTTAAGGAGTTCGACTCGCAATCTGCGGGTCGCGGGTTCGAATACCCGTTCCACCAAACATGCTCGCCCTTTTAACCGTGGGGGCGTTATAATATGAAGGTCAATCTCAGTATTAGTTGGTAGAAGAGTAGCCCAAGAGTTGGCGGTGGGTGACGATGACTAGCTGCCTTCCCTCTAGTCTTACAATGCTAAATTAGGGACGGCTAGTGCAGTAAGCCCTCGTGTAGCTTTGCGGGAAACTCAAAACAAAAAAACTTTTCCTTTTTACAAATTAGTGAAATATCGGTATTTCTTTTTATGTGTATATTTATACTATATAGATAAACAATTAGTTGAGCAATAGCAAAGGCAAAAGAAATAACTTAAATAGTTAAGAGTTAATTAATAATCACGTGATCAACTGACCTGTTCTTTTACAGATTGAAGAATAGTAGCCGCTGACTGGCCAGGAAGAGAAGTCGGAGAGTAGGTCACAGGCCTGTCGTGAATAGCCAGGTCTTCCACGGGCATAGTGGACAAACCTTGAATTTATCAACGTTAAGAAACCCTGTTGAAACATAAAAATATGCATTTTTTTATATATTCGATTTATTTAATAAAAAATGGCAGATATCAAGAGACTGAACTTGCGTATATACTGATATATAAGAAATCATTCACCGTATGTATCAGAAGTAAATAAGGGACATATAAACATATGACATACATGACCAGAAGCGAGAATGCTGTAATTAAAGGTTGTCATCCCCATACAGAGACCTTACATGTGACTTCACAAAACGTTCTTTCATTCAACGCCGCCATATTGAACGTCAAACATCCTTCCGACAATCAACAGTAATCCATATAATTAAAAGATTCGTATTTTCTTTTGTTCTGTGACTAGCTGTGAAAAGAGGGTTGAAGGCTATTCAGTATCCTGATATACCTTTCTTTATGAACATTGCTGAGAAGAGTTACAGAGTCACATGATATGATATCATAAGGCAAATTTGTCATTTTTCACCTAACATGAATGTAACTGCTTGAGGTCCAATATGGCGGAGCAATATCTCTGTAACAATATAGCCCAAGCCGGTCATCACATTCATATCACGTTCAGCCAAATATTCATTACCAGGAAAAGTCTGATCAATATCTTGTAGGCATTTCCTCTCCTGAGAGCATTTTTCAAATGTACTTTGCAACACGTGGATAAGATAATGTCCTCAGTGGAATAGTGGTAACTTTACGGACTTACAACGCTAATATCCGGGGTTTAATTCTCCGCGGTGGACACAGCAGATAGCCCAATGTGGCTTTGCTTTAAAACAAAAACAAACAAACCATAAGATAGTAGTATTAGGCTTAACTTATTTTTAAACGACAAAGTCTATATTCGGTCCTTCAGGTTTTTTTTTTTCGAAAAGAAGAGTGGATAATAGTATTTCAACCACAGTATACCCGCCATTTCCATTGCCGGTTAAGATACAACCAACATAATAGTGATCGAATGCTCTTTATATAAGTGTTCCGACCATTACTATATTTGTTGTATCGCAGCCAGTCAGATGAGCTCTGATATTGAGCGAAACGCGTCGTCGGCAATGGATATAGCGAACACAGTGTGGTTGAAATACTATCATACACTCTCGTCGAAAATTTTATAAGACCAACAAAAAAAAAAGACTTTAATATTTAAAAAAATAGAATAACTTAACTGTCTTCTTATGACAAATATACATTATTGTAGTAATATTTCGTCAGCCAAAGGCGTTCACACATAACAAGTTACAATACTGCCTGTTGCAAGGTTCGATATAAAAAAACTTACATTTCCAATACGGTATTGTTGGAAGATATGGTTGTTATGTGCTTCTGTATGAAAAATCAGAAAGTTACAACAATACTTTATTGAAAGGTTGGATGTTGTCATTGTTCTGTCTATGTCAGGGGCTTTACCTTAGAAAGTATAAACTTTTGTTACCTACAAGTCTTCCAGGAGGCTTTTCGCACAACACCAGAACGTATCAGCTGGGCTGGATGATGAGAAACAAAAGTTTACCTGAAAGGCTATCTATACATGCAGTATAGGAATGTGGGAACTAAAAGACAGGTCTCAAATGCCTTTTTTTTTTACACACCTCTGATTTGAAAGTGTAAACGAACAAAATGAGAGACATGTGAAAAAGAAGATCTGCAAATTACGAGACTTTTATCACAAATGTTAGACCTACCAGTTCGATAATAAACATTTCTACTACATTGTTGACTAGTTCTGCTGAGCTTACCGTATTGTCTGTGTCGACGATCCAGTCGGGTTCTTTGCTTGTTTCTAGATCCAAACAACATTTACAATCTAACAGAGTAATTTGATCAGCAAATCTTCTTTCAGCGCTCTTTCGACTTCTAAGTTAACCATTCAATTGGATTTCTGTGCGTTTCACGAAATCCAGTATCTTGTTGTTATGGCAACGGATTCTACAGAGTAGCTAAAGTTGAGCTTTTTCCTATTCTGTGATACAAAATATATTTTCACCATTTGTACGTTATTGCGTTACCATGTTTGTGCATTCCAGTCTTACTGAAGTGGATAAGTCTTGCGACGCACTGACTCCAAAATTATCTAAACTAAATTATTATTTCTTAGTTTCTGGATCTAACCAGAACATTGTCTAGTATCTTTTTAATACCTATAAAATGGTAGTTATTTTTTATTACTTTGCACAGAGACCACATCTCGGATTAGTAAACACATCTTGAGAACTTCAAAGTTTATAAGGTACCCACACAGATTTCTTTTACAGCTCATTTCGTTTAATGGAATTGGCAACCCTCTAATTTTAGAAAGTCCAGTTCCTCGAATGATTGCTTACACTGTGTGGATTATAGTTTAATACTGACCAGTGATATATAACTTGAATTCATACATCTATATTATATATTAGTTTATACTTTAATTAAAGCACAATGGCCGATTTCTTTTTTGCCTTTTTTAATTAAACGACTTTTTTCAACGTATAAAAAGGCACGACTCTCACATACTTCCAAATACTTGTTTATAAGACTCATGTGATTAATCATTTATATTTATACTATAAAGAAGTATAAGTCAAAGCCTTTTATTTTGAAAATTGGCAAAATAATTATATTTTAAATTCTGACACATACGCACACAAAAGGTTTGTTCCCCTAGAAATGTTATATCAAATTAAGCCAATGTTATCAAAACTTTTAGCCTGTGTAAAAGGTAAAACGTTTATAGTCTAATATTCTATACCCTATAACAGTTTCATTTGTTTTCTTAAATTGGATGAAAAGTTTAAAATATGTTTTAAAATATTTATACGTAAATATACATATCAATAGTTGTATTTTAATAGTGGGAAGCCCCCCAGTAGCACAGCGGTATGTCTGCGGACTTACAACGCTAGAATCCGGGTTTCGACACCTGTGGTGGGCAGAGCACAGACAGCCCATTGTGTAGCTTTGTTTTAACTTCAACAAACAACAACTGTAATAGAGGAAAACCAATATTTCATAACAAAAAACATTCCTGATATGTTTTATGTTAAAAAATGTTGAATTTATATCAAAATTGCGATTAATCAACAAAGACGTATCTTAGTATCAGAAAAACAAGATGTAAATATTATTGTACGCTTTGAAGTGAAAACAGTATAAACCGTTTGTAGAAGAAAAGATGAATCGCTATACTAATTCCATGTTAGAGATATTATTTTACAGTAAACTTTGTATGAAATGATAGAATTTGAGCTCTTAATAATTAAAAGACAATATTGAATTAACTTGAAGCTTCATGAGGAAACAGATAAAATTGAAAATGTTTACATATAAAGAAACAAAAATTAATAGTTATGGTTCGTGAACAAATTATAATATGAATACGGCTTAACGTATTAACGTCATGTCGAGTTACTTAGAGTTAATCGCGTTTGATAAGAACGAAGTTATAACCTCCATGTTGTCCTTGGAGCTACATGCTCCACCTGTGATTGCGCTCAGTCTGATGACATGATTACATACAATTACCTTACATTGCAATTTTCATTATTGCGAAACTCTTCTGCGAAGGACAGCATGGCCTGTCAATCTTCGATCACACACCTTGAAAAACCCTACACTTTTGACTTCCAAGATGAAATTTAAGCAAGTCAAAGACACAAAAATCCATTGAAACTGCATCGGATGACTTGACGAATGTGTGATCAAATGGGTTTCTGTGATTCTAGTTTCTTGGTCCGTCCTTCTCATTTAAACAGCCGTTGATCTCGTTGATGAGTAGCTGGAATCTTGTCAACTTCTGGCTTGTGTCTTTTTCAACTACAAATCATGTTTACTATCTTGTTATCGCTCTAAGGAAATATATCAAGCTTTATCATAATAATATTTTGAGTAAGATACTTTATACTTCCTATTTGTAACCATATCCTTTGAAGATCAGGATGCTGCTCCAGCACGATTTGGGATATAGTTTCTCAGCCCATTGCTGTCCTAAACACACTGCTGTGCGAGATTTTCCGTTTCTATCGAGAACACTGAAGGTTCCTTTGGCACTATATGATTTAATAATCTCTGAAAGGAAAGGGTTGTAGAAATTTCTTCGAGCCATAACTCTACTGTAGTGGCATTACACCGTCGAATGATTGGGAATTCGATGTAAACCAAATGTAATCTGTGACACGTATTTGCTGCGACATTCTACCGTATTGACATACACAAATCGTTTCTATAAAGTGCAAGTAACCCTCTGTATATTTTAAGTCTTGTATAAACTATATTAGTATACTGTACCACTACAGTATTGGATGTGGTATCATGTACTATTTGATATCTTGTGAGAGATGGAAATTTCCATGGATTGAAACATCATAACACGAAGTAATTGGATGCAGCAAATTAAACTAAAAAACCAAAAGCACTGGAGTCACGCATCTGGCTCAAAGGAGTCATCAATCGAGGAGTTCCCTGCTCATTCATTTAATTACCCTCAAATGAACTATCCTTCCGGAAGAGAATCTCCAGATTCCACCGTATACCTCATCTAACCCATTCCTTTACTACTATTTACATCTCAAACTTTCACTGGACTTGTTATCTTCTTTTATATCTACTCTTTTCACGGCGTCACAGTTAGTCTCTAAATTGCATCTCTAAGCGGAAAGGAAAGTAAATACTTGGAAATATAGTAGCTTTTATTGTTCCTCTAATGTGTTCAGTTTAATTTGTTTGATTCCTTAACGTTAAATCACCTATACATCCTTATAAAACAGTAATACAGTAGCTCTTATGAAATTGGTTTTTCTTATTGTACGGAAAAGCTAAGTCTTCTGAAAAATATCTATCATTTGTTTGAGTCTTTAACGTTAGATCACCTATATATCCATGTAAGACAGCAATGCAGCATTTCTTCCGAAATTGGTTTTTCCTATTATATAGAAAAGTTAAGTCTTCTGAAAAATATTTTTCATCTGTACTTTATAAAGCAAACAGAAATGTCAAAACGGAAATGGAAAAAGTTATATTGTATGAAAAATAAAAAAGTCC